ATATCACAGCAATCTTCAGGGGGGGTTTGGGGAGAATAGTCGGACGCAGTGGGCCTCGAAGGAGGAGAAGGATAGAGAGGGGGGTTTGGGAGGACTCGGAAGGTGCTCTGTGGTGACAGGAGCAGACCAACCCCACCACCTTTACGACCGTTGGGTCTGGGTGAGTGGGTCCAGGTGAGACTTCCGTAGGAGAGTGCAGCAGGGGAGGTGGAGTCAGTGGCCTGGATCCAGGTTTCAGTGATCGCTAGGAGGTTGAGGGAGCGGGAAACAGAGGTCGTGGATGGTGGTAAGCTTGTTGCACACAGATTGGGCGTTCAGGAGTGCACATGAAAATGGGGGGGGGGGGGGGGGTGATTTTAGGGAGCAGGGGGACAGATACTAAGTTGACAGGGGTTGCGGCAGGGATGTGGAGGCGCGCTGAGGGTGTTTAGTGTGTGGGTGAGGGAGGTGGTGGGGAGGCCAGGATTCGGGGAGATGTCCCCTGCGGTTAGGAGGAGGAGAAGGTGAGAAAGGTGGCATGGGAGCGGGATGTACAGGAGCGTGTGAAACTACTAGTGGAGGTGTTCGGGTCAGTGGTGAGAGTGGAGTATTAGGAGGAGGTGGTGGGTGCCGTAGAGGGGTGAAGGAAGCAGTGAGGACACAATATACAATTGTTTGGGAGGAGCAGAGGGATATATTGAATGGATTTTGGGAACGGAGGAGTGGAAGAGGCATTTTAGGGAGGTGCCCAGGAGGGCAGATAGGAGTGGTGGGAGGCTTCTTTGTTGGACTATATCATCGATGTGTCTTCTGGTGGCTGGAGTTTAGGGGAGAGGGGATGGGGTGTGGATGGACGGTTTCCAGGGGCGCTTGAGTGGCGACAGTCTGGGGTGCAGAGGGGTCTCTCATTTTGGTGGCTTTCAACAAGGGTTCAAGTCTTTAGGTCAAGTTGAGCTGGGGGTTGGTATGAGTGGAGGTGCTGAAGGCTTGGCGTCTGGAGGTGGAGTGGAGGACTAGGTGTTGGTAGGCGCAGTAGGGCCCGGCGTCAGTGTGTGTTGTGGACCAGTGCATGTGGATGCTGCGGGCCAGCGACTGAGGGTGCTAAGGGGCCCAGCATCTGTGGGAGCGGTAGGGTCCGGCGATTGTAGGTGTTGTAGGGCCCGGGCGTCAGTGGGGTGCAGGAGGCCCGCGCGGCAGGCTTGCCTCTGCCGGATTGGACGGGGCTGTGCTGTGCGGGTGGCACGGCTGTATGGTACACAGTGGGGAGCAGGGAAGCAGATCTGGTAGTGGTGGCTTGCCCTCTTGGTGCCGGTGGGGGTGGTTGCTGCTTCTCCTCTCACTGTGGCGGCTGTAGGTAGGGAAGGCGGTGGTGGAAGCTCCCCTCTCACTGGTGCGGACGGCATGTCCTGGTTCGGGCGTTGGGCAGTAGCGAGGCTTAGAGGCAGCGGTATGCCGCAGGGGACAGGGCCCCCAGTGCTCCTCCTGGGTGATGGCAGGACCTCCGGAGCGGCTGGCGAGGGTACCGACGGGGGCGGGGGTGGTGGCGGGGCGGCGGCGTTCCCTCAGGAGCAAAATAAACGCCACAGAAATATGGACCAGAGTTAGATGTTGGAAGCAGTAACAATTACCAATAACAACACTGATAGTTATATGAATCGGCTTCAGTTAGAGGTGGATTTTAAAAGCAGTATATATTACCATATAGCAGTGCAGGGTAAAATTAGCATTCTTATTTGTCATGGGCGATAATACAGATGGATATTGCAAGCAGGCATTTTTAAATTTAATATAATTTTAGTTTTGTGTATGTGTGTACACACACACACACACACACTCACACTCACACACTCTCTCTCTCTCTCTCTCTCTCTCTCTCTCTCTGGATGTCGCACCCCCAACCCCCCCCCACCCCCCACTTCTCCATCACGTCCAACAATGCCACGATCAGGCCCGCCCCGCAAGCCAGAGTACTTGGTGTCATTCTGGACTCCAACCTATACTTCCAGCCCCAAGTCCAATCACTAACAAACTCATGCAGACTCCACCTCCGCAACATCGCCAAAATCCGCACGTTCCTAACCCCAGAAACCACTAAACAGCTCATCCACTCCCTCATCATATCACGACTCGATTACTGCAACTCCCTCCTCACTGGCCTGCCTCGCCACAGACTATCCCCGCTTCAGTCTATCCTGAATACGGCAGCCAGACTCATCCACCTTACCAACCGCTCCGTTTCCGCTAATCCCTCCACTGGCTTCCGATTGCCCAACGGATCAAATTCAAAATCCTAACACTGACATACAAACCTGTCCATCATACTGCCCCAAATTACATCACCGACCTAATATCCAAATACCACCCAACATGCACTCTCCGCTCCTCACAAGACCTGCTTCTCTCTAGTTCCCTGGTCTCCTCCTCCCATGCTCGCCTCCAGGATTTCACCCATCCTCTGGAACTCCCTACCCCAATCCATCAGACTATCACCTACTCTCCTCTCCTGAAACCCTGAAAACCCACCTCTTCAGGGAAGCCTACCCCACCACCTGCTAATTGCCGACCTCCTCCACTCTTCCTACCACTCCATCCCCCACAGCTATCTCCTCCTGTACCACTATCCCCTCCCTCCTAGATTGTAAGCTCGAAGGAGCAGGGCCCTCAATCCCCTCATGTATCACATTGTATTGTTATTGTACTGTTGCATGTTCTGTCTCCCTTTGTAATGTACAGCGCTGAGCGAACTGTTGGCGCTTTATAAATACTGTATAATTATATATATATATATATATATATATATATATATATATATATATCTCTCACACACAATACTTGGGCTGCGTATGTGTAATGACATTTTTAGACGTAAATTCAATCATTTTTAGGCCAAGTAGGTGTAATATACAGTATATGCAAATGCTGGCCATACGTGATTCTAAAATTTGAGTAATTAGCAAAATTGACATGTTTAATCATTTTACACTAATGATAACCATACACTAGCTGGAAAATTGTTCGGACTCATATTCAAATAACGAACAGTCAGTCATGAGAGCAAACAATCGTGCCACCATGTAATGACTGAATTTCAAATGATAAACCGTTCAGTGGACATAAATGAAGCAGATTTTCTTTCGTTTTGTCACATGTGCACAGTACAGACAGTTTGATTTCAATTTGTTTGTTTCCAACCTGTTTGTTTGAGATCAATTTTATTTATTATTTTGTTCTGAAAAGTCAAAAACTATTTTTGATTTGTGCCCATTAATTGGATGAGAAACGAATGAACGATCCAAATGACAGATTTTCAAACAATTTGTTTGTCTAGTGTATGGAGACCACAAGTAGGTGTATTTACAGTATATATAATGATAGACATACAGGATGATAAACAATCAGATTAGTAAGCTTGGTTTCAATTTGATCTTTTTGTCAATCTATTTTAAATAAATTTGGCTTTACAATGCTTTCATCAAAGCTTAGTAAGCTACTACTGAAGGAGTCATGTGGTGTTCATAATGGTATCTGCAAAGCATTATTTTGCAGAATTTTGAAAGGGGAAGTAGTGTTTTATTTTGTACATGTTTATTAATGCTGAGTTTTACAGTATTTTTGTACAGTCATTGTGACGGTGACATTTGTCTTATTTCATTTCCCATCTTAACATTTTTGTTGTCCTTACCCATGTAATATTTGTTTCTAACATGACATTTCATATTTCTAAATCTTACTGGAACTTTTATACTTCCTGTGCTGCATCAGCTAAAAAGTGTTTTTTTTTTTTTTTTTTTGAATTGTAGCATTTTCGGATTTTCTATAGCATTTGGTAAATGTAATTTTGATATTTTACATTTAACTGCATGCTTAACAAACTTAGAAGCTGCCACATATTTGTGTAACTACCTGTCAGAGTTCCATGAGGAATGCATTTGTTTACCTCTAGGATGAAAGGTTAAAAAACTGTGTAAGAGGTGTTTTATAGCTGTCATCTGCTTTGGCATCTTGTGATCTTCATGCTGTGTGTGTATATCAATTGTAGAACAGGGTGGAGAGGTGCTATGACACAAGACTGTCACTTATTAACTGATTTGAGAACTATGATCTGGGTAATGGCTATAGTTTTCAATATATTAAAGGAGGGTAAACTGCTATTTGACTGTTATGATGTTGTTGTTTTTTTAGACTGTTACCTCAATTTTTTATTTTTTAGTTTGTTCAGGGAGGCTTCATTTGTGTCTTTCTATATGCTTTGCCGTAATTATATGTAATTGTTCTATAAAACACTTTATTTGGTGAGCAGCGATATATTTGGGAAATGCTGTGTGTAGTTACGAAAGGTTACTTGTATTAAAAATATTCTGTGTAGGAATTCATAAGTTTAACATTTTCACACCTAACCAAAGTAGGGTAATTTGTTTGAATACAACCACAGCACACACCTGCCTGGAGTTTGCATGTTCAGTCTCTGCCTGCGTGAGTTATCTCCAGGTTCTCCAGTTTCCTCCAACACTCCAAAGACATGCTGGTAGGCTAACTGACCCCTGTCTAAATTGGCCTTAGTATGTGTATGTATTAATGTGAGTTAAGAACCGTAGATTGTAAGCTCCTTGAGGGCAGTGACTGATGTGATTGATTGAGATATATATATATATATATATATTTGTGTGTGTAAAGTGCTACGTAAATTGATGGCACTATACAAGTACCTATAATAATAAAATACAGGTACTTACATGGTGACAGTGGTGCAAGTAATATGAGCAAGGCAGGCTTTTCCCTTTTTCCCCCCACACACCCACAGCCATTTAGCTGACCGTTCTTTCCCCACTGTAAGGTAAGTTTGTTGGGGATTCTCTATTCTTCTTCCTATACAGGATCTAGTAGGCAGTTAATATAACTACTGATGTGTATTCGTGTGTGTATATGGTTATATAAATATATTCTCAATATGCTATTTTGTTATGTTCATTAATCCAAATATCCATTAGTTAATAGAACATTTTTTTTTTTTAAACTTGTAGTGGAATTATGAGACCTGGACTAAATGCAATTCTGGGACCTACAGGCAGCGGCAAGTCATCGTAAGTTTAAAAAAAAAAAAAAAAAGTTGTGCATATTTTCTTTTTTCTGGTCAAAGCTATTTTATATAAAAATATACAATAGCGTATTTTTTTTCTTAGGCAGTGAGTTAATCTTTTCACTCATAGCTTTTTTTTTTTTTTTTTCTCTCTCTCTGTCTATCACATGTTCTGGGAGGGGAAAAACCTTATACTGGTTGGGCATTTCATTCTGCGTTTTTAGAATCTGAGTGAAATCCTTAATGCAAAGAGATAACTACCGCTCTGTTGTCCCTTTTAGCTAAACTATAGTGCTCTGAGAATCCACTTTTTATCTTGTGGTTGTTTGTGTGTTGTACAAATATTGATTGTGCGTGGATATAAAAAATCACTTTACAAAATTATCTTAAAAAAATGTCAATTGACTGGAAAATATTGCTCTGTTTTTTTTTGTTTTTTTTTCTGTAAGATTGTTATTATGCCTTCAGTGTAAGATTGAGATTGATTGATTGATTACTATACATTTCCTTGTGTGTACTGGTTGAGCTAAACACACTTGACTGAAATAAATTTTGCTATCTATACTTGCAGACTACTGGACGTACTTGCTGCTCGAAAAGATCCACATGGTCTTTCTGGTGAAGTTCTAATAGATGGGAAGCCACAGCCACCCAACTTCAAGTGCTTATCTGGTTATGTAGTGCAGGCAAGTTAGTTTGCATTCACATTAATACATCACCATAGAGCTACAAATAAGTATAGAGAGTACTTGAAAAGACACTGATTGACCTTTTTTATGGTGTTTCCCTTTTGGCTCTCATAGTTAAGTGTTCTTGCATGGCAAGACCACTTACTGTTATCTCACATATATATTCTTATTATAGTCAAATTTGCCACCCTAACTCCTCCCACAGTTTTTACACTACATAGACAGTAATATACCGAAACGTGCGGATTGTTCCCGATTGGTGTGCTATTACTTTGTGGAACGTTTCGCCGAATGGTTCACGAAATATCGGCATTTTTGTGGTGAAATTAGTCCCATAGGAACGATTGGCAGAATGTTCAAAACTAGAGTGGGAGCTGACAAAAGCTAGAGTGTACGCTGAAAAATCAGGACATGTCTAAACTGCCATCACTCCCTCATTTTCAAGTCCACCTACACAAATCTTATATCAAAATGTTCAGCTATCCCTGCTGCCACTAAAAATGTCCACGGTTAAGCCATAGTCCTGATAGTTTTCACAAATGACCATTAGTTTGCAACTCACGCCGCCCATTGACATTCATTGAAACTCCAATGTAGCCACCTTAAATTTGAAGGGCAATTTCTAAACTGCGACTGTGCTTTCATTTTTAATATTTCAGAGACATACTATGCATCAAAATATAGGTCTGGGTCTTGTGATTCTCACAATATAAAGCTCTTCGGTGTAGGATTTATAGTTTATAAACTACAACCGTTTGAAATGGCAACCGCCAGTGAAGTGAGCAAGTTGGAGCAGTTTGTTTTTAAATGTTCTTCTCTGCCCTTGCTGTAGAGTGAGTTGCCATAGGAACCCAGGTGTGTGAGCAGCCAGCAGAGTGACGAAAAGCTAGAGTGTGAGTTGTAGACTACTGGTGGAGACAAGAACACTTCACACAATTTCCCCATTTCTGGCCCAGGCATCACAATGTGCTTTCCTTTTACTTACCACATCCACAGGAGTTTTTCCTTTTTTTTTTTTTTTTTTTTTTTTTAACGTTTATTTGAACAGATTTTCAGGTTGCATCATTTCATAGATGATATATCTGCATTCACTTCCTGTAGGCCACCTCTCAAAAGCCTTCACTTCCTTGTTGCATCACAGAAGAGGGTGTGATGGGGTGTGTTCACCACTCTGGACCACACCTCCCTCCTTACAATACTACCTTCCTCCCATGAGCTGTGTAGTACAAGGATATGTTTGATTTGATACCAATTGAATAGATTGTTCAGGCGTGTCCTCCTATTCCATAATTCTGGTAAATCTAAAGGAAATGGTACAGAGATTGTAAAATTAGATTGCATAGTGTACGGCCATCTTTGTACAAATACATAGGAGGGAGTGGATGGAGACACACAGTCGTCAGGCCCCGTTCACATCTCCACGTAGCGAAGACTCACATTCCCACATGCGTTTTTTTTTGTTTTGGGTGTTGTGGAGCGTTTTCACTCATCACGCAAAGGACAGTCTTCTAACTTGAACGGGCTGCCATACACACAACAATTGCCCCAGAGATGCTCCAGAACTTTTTTTGGAGTGGAGCACCGGGCCGAGGGGGGGAAGGGGTTACTGCAGTTTTTGGTGTGTTTGCCACACTTGGGGTGAATATTAATGTTTCATGTGTCTAACTTTTGCCCAAATTTTGCAGTTGCTTTGAAACATATTCACATTTCAGACTGTGGATGTTCATTGTGTGTTTCCAATATGCAAAGCTCTGTGTATACAGAGGGGTTTCAGGAAAGTGGTTCCTGTTTATATAAGCCAGTGTAAGATATTATTCACATTTTAATGTATAAAGTGTATGCATTTTGTGGGAGTACTTGTTTGTCACCCTTAAAGCTGAACTCTAAGGAAAGGAAGAATTCTTTTACAGTAGAGCTTTCCCCACACAGTGAGGGTTAAATGCTTGTTTAAGTTCAGGGGGGCCGCAAAAAGCATTTTTACATACCCGATCCTTCTCTCCTGCAGCCTTCCTCCATGCTCCAATAGCAGTCCCTGCAGCCTCTTTTCCCCTATGCTCTGGTGTCTGCAGGTTCTCTGATGTCATAAAGTTCAATGCAGAGGCCATAGTCTACACTGGACATGAATATGCTGATTAGCAGTTCACTGCTGGAGTGTAAGGGATAAGAGGAAAGTGCCAGGTGCTGGGTCAGTGGAGGACTGGATTAATAACTTGAGAGTTTAATTGTATTGGAGAGGTAACGTGCATTTTGCGGCCCCTTGGATTTAAGTGAGCATTTACCCTTGTAATGTAGGGGCAGTCCCAGTACAAGAGAACATTTTTCCTTTCTCTGAAGGTAAGCCTTTGGTTTAATTTGTAGAATTTGGACATAACACTTTAATTGTGGCGTGGCATAAATGACTAAATTTATCTTTGGAGAGATGTTCTATTTAGACTCTGCATGTTGGTAAATACATTTCCTTATGTTTTAGGATGATGTTGTTATGGGTACATTGACTGTTAGAGAGAACCTTCAGTTTTCTGCAGCTTTGAGGTTACCGAGGTCACTAAAACAAAAGGAAAAGGATGAACGTATCGATCAGATCATCAAGGAACTTGGACTAACAAAAGTAGCTGACTCAAAGGTAAAGTGGATTGGAGCTGGAGTATTTTTGGAAATTTGTTTTCTTCTCTTGTATGTAAAATGACAATCCTTGTCCTGTACTTTTGTTTTTAGGTTGGCACTCAGCTGATCCGTGGTGTGTCTGGAGGAGAGAGGAAGAGAACAAATATTGGTATGGAGCTCATTACTGACCCAGGGATTTTATTCTTGGATGAGCCAACCACTGGTTTGGATGCCAGCACTGCCAATGCTGTTCTGCTGCTGCTGAAAAGGTAAAGGAGCCTACTTCTCTGTCTTTATTATCTGTTTACAATGCTAACTGACTCTGTGGTTCCACCCCGTTCAGATCTTCTACCACTGCAGTCTTGGCATTTTACATTAAGCTTGTTCCTGTTCTTTAATTATCACTAGATTTCTTAATTTTTGCATGGGTACAAAATAGGATTTACTTCATGATGTTTTTATTGTGATGGTTGTGTTCTTTCCATATATTTTGGAACCGTAATTTTGTACAGCTGACAGTCTTATTTAGATGCAATATTTTATTGTAAAATAGCAGCTGCTATAAAACTGGACAAATGGCAAAAACTGAGCTAACTGAATAAAACTGACAGACGACCCCACCACCCATTTAGAAGGTGGTTTACCGAAATTGGTGAGATCAGCACTATGGAGGAGATTATTGCCTCTGCAAATCACAGGGAGGAGCAAAACCATAAGATCTTGTTCTACTAGCATTATTTCAACTGTTCATCGGAATATAGAACATTTAATGGACAAATTGCTCCCTGGCTCTCCACTCATCTTTGGTAACGCTGTTCCAGCCCTTGTGCCCCCCCCCCCCTTATTTTTGATAATGCCCCCCACTTTCTTTTTTGTTTGTCTTGTCCAATATTTCTGCTACCCCTGCTCTTTCTCTTTAAAGCAGAACGATACTCTCCTGTGATCCCACGATGCGCTGTCCCGGAGCTCCCCACCTGGCCACTGAAATCTTCAGGCAGCTGGCTTCCAGGTCCCAAACAACGGCCGCTGTCATGGGCTGGGCGGTGATAGCGTCACTCCTACGCATAAGTGGGAGTTCCGTCAAATTCAACATTGCCGAATTTGTACAGTGAGCCGTACCTGCACGGCTCACTGAACATTGTTGAACATGCAGGTTGTTGGTTTTAATGCAGAAGAGAAAAAGCATATCTCTTCTGCATTAAAAATCCTGTCTGTCCACCCATTTTTAAATTTTTACCTTAAGTTCCACTTTAGGTCTGCTGCCTCTTGGTACCTTTTTGACTCTCCTGTTGGGCCCTTGTTTACTCCCTATTCTCTTTTGTTAGTAGCAGTCAAACAGAGTTCTGTTACTTTTAAGCTGGGGCCAAATTGTGCTGTCCGTGGCTCCATTTAATCTGCTCCTCCAGGGACTCCAGTCTTGTGAGAGCTTTGATAGCAAGCTGCCTTCCTAGAACTAGGATTTCCTGTTAAATCTCATTCAATTGCTGTCATATGTGATGCCACGTAAGTATAAAATGTCCTGTATAGGATCCCTGATTTTGAAGTTGTATCGTGTTTACTGGCTCATATAACACTGACTTTTTTTTTTGGTTTGTTTTTGTATTGTTGTAACCCTTTAAAGAGTTTACAAACAAAAATAAAACTGTATTGGAGATTTGCAGCTGCACTGAAGCCTACCTGAAATGGGTGATCAGCTGCAGTGCACTAAGTAAAATATGTTCACCACTTTTCTTATGAAAATTAAAATACCAGGCTTTTACGCTTCTTTAGTTTAGTCCTCCTTCTTAACAACCTGTAGGTCTTTTTTGATACATAGCATTATTTTTTTAAATTTTATTTTGCTAAATTAAATTTGTATATGTCCTAATTTCTTGAATAGCATTTTAGTGTTAGCCTTTTTCAATTATTAGGATGTCGAAGCAAGGCAAGACTATCATATTTTCTATACACCAGCCTCGGTATTCCATCTTCAGGCTGTTTGACAGCCTCACTCTACTGGCTACAGGACGAACACTATATCATGGGCCTGCTCAGCATGCGCTGGAGTACTTTACAGAGCTTGGTAAGAGGCATAGAAAGTGCTTCATGGATTTACAAGTCACGTGATTTTAGATTCTTTTTTGGTATTTTTAGTGAGGGTATGGGCACAGAGGGTAGAACATTGACTTTTATTGAAACAATTTTAAATGAATAAAGGTCCTCATGCTGGGCAGAAAGTATTCGCCTAGAATCAGATGAATGACATGTTATGTTTGAAGCCAAAATTTAGCCAGAACTTTTTTGTTTACTTTTTAGGTTTTGCTGCTATCTCTATTCCCATTTTTTTTTCTTCATTGACATATGGATAGATTTATTTTGTTCAGACTTCAGGCTGAACAAGAGAAAATTTTAACGATTCCACCATCCATTCCAAACTGCATAGATGGAGATATCTCCACTACTGGCTATTGTACTCAACAGCCACAGCACCCACAGCTGCATAAACACCCAAACGGTGACTGCATCCGATAGGAGACGTTTGGCTGATTTTAACTTTTTCACCTAGCCCAGTTGATTATTAATTTTGAGCCAATTGGTGTTTTGCTTGGCCACAGCTAAAATTTTTGGATGATTCACCAGGCATTGGCTGAAATTTGAGCCGTGTATGGTCAGCTTTACTGTCTATTGGATGGGAGTCAGACAGAACAAAAAGTGAAGGGAAGTCTTTCCACTATAAATAAAATGGACAACAATAAAACAATTTGTGTTTTTTTTGAGTAGGGGAGAGTAAGAACCTTCTTAGATTTGTATTGCTGTCTGTGCCCCCATTGAGCAACTTTCTTCTGAAATCCATCAATTGGATAGTTGAAGTGGAGTTGAAATCTCTCTCAGAAGGGGAAGCAGACAGCATTTAATGATTGACAAAGGTACTAATCCTTCATCGTTCTATCTAAAACTAGAAAAAAACTTTTGGCTTAATCTGAGCTTTAATGCAGCTTCCTACTAAACATGAGCATGGGTTCAGTTTATATGCTACATTCAGCATGAACAGTAGAATTCCAGGGATGGTGTAGAGCTTTTCACCACTGGGAAACTGTTTGCTTTTTCTGCTGTGAAATTGTGCTAAATTCAACACCTTTTCGCAGATCATAGCAAATGTCATGTACATAGTATTCTGTTATAGCGCAAAGACCGCCAGTACCCCCAGGAGTGGCAGCAACCAAGCTATGTAGTGCTTATGTCCATAAGAGGTATGTTACAATCGTTTGCTGGTTACAAAGAAGAACACACGAGTGTGGCTCTTGGAGGTGCCCTCTTGTGTTCTTCTGCCATAGTAAATGTTGTACCATTCATTACGCTAGTTCCTTTTAAGTGAAAATACAGAGTACAAAGGACTTTAAGTACTTCCTGACTGCTTTGAATAGTCCTAAGGAAGTGTGAGAAAACATTGAGTTGTGTGTGCAAAATGTTATACAGGTATTGTATTGAACCTCTTTTTAATAGGTTATGAATGTGAATCTCATAACAACCCTGCTGACTTCTTTCTGGATGTCATCAATGGCGATTCTACAGCTGTTGCTCTTAACAAAATGGAAGACGTAGATCTCGGTAAGGAAGCTGTGGCTGGGATTTAGGATATGTGTGGACTGGTTTTGGGCATGTGTTGATGGTTTCAGTTTGAGATGCTTTTTAGATCACTCAGAATTGACAGGTGCATTTGACCTCCTTCTGACCTCTACTTTACCAGCTTTAAGTAGGCTTTGCAAAATCATTGACTTGTATGAGAATGCAAAACTCATTTGTAGTGAACCAGTTAATTATTAGATTTCCTGCCATGATGCTTAGGCAAATGTGATGTCACAGTGGTTTTGGCGAGATCCGGTAAAATGCCAAGTAGCCTATATCTTGTTAGCATCATATCGCAAACTTGGGGCTCAGGGCAGTAATCTTTATTCTATTGGAATCTTGTTGGAAGAATAGTGACATCCCCTTCTGCAGTACAGAGGCCAGGGGAAGGTATTTGTTAATTTTTCCTGCATGGGTGTGTTTTGACATTTTTGTGCAGCCAATTAGGATGAGGGAGGGTACCCTCAATGAATGAGTGGACCTTGCATACACTGCAAACTCTGCTTTACCAGTCATTTTATATTCCATCTTCATACATACATACATACATACATACATACATACAGTGGGGCAAAAAAGTATTTAGTCAGCCATCATTTGTGCAAGTTCTCCCACTTAAAAAGATGAGAGCCCTGTAATTGGCATCATAGGTAGACCTCAACTATGAGAGACAAAATGAGAAAAAAAAATCCAGGCAATCACATTGGCTGATTTGGAAATAATTTATTTGCAAATTATGGTGAAAAATTAGTATTTGGTCAATATCAAAAGTTCATCTCAATACTTTGTTATATATCCTTTGTTGGCAATGATAGAGGTCAAACGTTTTCTGTAAGTCTTCACAAGGTTGGCACACACTGTTGCTGGTATGTTGGCCCATTCCTCCATGCAGATCTCCTCTAGAGCAGTGATGTTTTGGGGCTGTCGCTGGGCAACACGGACTTTCAACTCCCTCCAAAGGTTTTCTATGGGGTTAGGATCTGGACACTGGCTAGGCCACTCCAGGACCTTGAAATGCTACTTACGAAGCCACTCCTTTGTTGCCCGGGTGGTATGTTTGGGATCATTGTCATGTTGGAAGACCCAGCCATGTTTCATCTTCAATGCCCTTGCTGATGGAAGGAGGTTTGCACTCAAAATCTCACGATACATGGTCCCATTCATTCTGTCCTGTACATGGATCAGTCGTCCTGGTCCCTTTGCGGAGAAAAACAGCCCCAAAGCATGATGTTGCCACCCCCATGCTTCACAGTAGGTATGGTGTTCTTTGGATGCAACTCAGCATTCTCTCTCCTCCAAACACGACGAGTTGTGTTTCTATCAAACAGTTCTATTTTGGTTTCATCTGACCATATGACATTCTCCCAATCCTCTTCTGGATCATCCAAATGCTCTCTAGCAAACTTCAGACGGGCCCGGACATGTACTGGCTTAAGCAGGGGGACACGTCTGGCACTGGAGGATCGGAGTCCCTGGCGGCGTAGTGTGTTACTGATGGTAGCCTTTGTTACGTTGGTCCCAGCTCTCTGCAGGTCATTCACTAGGTCCCCCCCCGTGTGGTCCTGGGATTTTTGCTCACCGTTCTTGTGATCATTTTGACCCCACGGGGTGAGATCTTGCGTGGAGCCCCTGATCGAGGGAGATTATCAGTGGTCTTGTATGTCTTCCATTTTCTAATTATTGCTCCCACATTTGATTTGTTCACACCAAGCTGCTTGCCTATTGCAGATTCAGTCCTCCCAGCCTGGTGCAGGTCTACAATTTTGTTTCTGGTGTCCTTCGACAGCTCTTTGGTCTTGACCATAGTGGAGTTTGGAGTTTGACTGTTTGAGGTTGTGGACAGGTGTCTTTTATACTGATAACAAGTTCAAACAGGTGCCATTGATACAGGTAATGAGTGCAGGACAGAGGAGCCTCTTAAAGACGAAGGTACAGGTCTGTGAGAGCCAGAAATCTTGCTTGTTTGTAGGTGACCAAATACTTATTTTCCACCATAATTTGCAAATAAATTCTTTCCAAATCCGCCAATGTGATTGTCTGGATTTTTTTTTCTCATTTTGTCTCTCATAGTTGAGGTCTACCTATGATGCCAATTACAGGCCTCTCTCATCTTTTTAAGTGGTAGAACTTGCACAATTGGTGGCTGACTAAATACTTTTTTGCCCCACTGTACATACAACTGGTAAAAGAAGTATTGAACATGACACCATTTTTCTAAGTAAATATATTTGTAAAAATGCTACATTTTCACCACATGTTGCTAACAACCCATGCAATATATACATACAAAGAAACCAGAGCAAATCATTTCAGAAGATAAGTTTGTTTTGTGTGTAATAAAATGGAATGACAAAGGAAAAAAGTATTGAACAGGCTAACAGAAATGTATTTAATATTTTTTACAAAATCTTAATTGGTAATGACCGCTTCAAGTCACCTCCTGTATGGAGAAACGCATGCATTGCTCAGGTGAGATTTTGTCCCATTCTTCCACATAAACCGCCTTCAAATCTTGAAGGTTCCGTGGACCTCTTCTTCGAACTCTGATCTTTTAGTTTTTTTCATAGATTTTCTATTTGATTCAAGTCAGGTGATTGGGTGGGCCATTCTAGCAGCCAATTTAGAGTTTTCTTGGCTTTGTGTGTGGGATCATGGTCTTGCTGAAATGTCCACCCTCGTTTCATCATCATCATACTGGTAGATGGCAGCAGATTTTTATCAAGAACTTCTACATTTTTCCAGTCATCCTTCCTTCAGTGAAATGAAGTTTGTCAGTACTGTATGCTGAAAAACATCCCCACACCATGATGATCCCACCTCCAAACTTCACTGTTGGTATGGAGTTTTTGGGGTGATGTGCAGTGCCATTTGATCTACACACATGGTGTGTATTATGGCATCCAAAGAGTTTGATTTTGGTAAAATCTAACGGTGGTGAGTGTGCATACAGGCCGTGGTGGTTTAGTGCATTACTTATTGTTTCCTGAAACAATTGTACCTGCTAATTCCAGGTCTTTCTGAAACTCTCCACAAGTGGTCCTTTGGCTCTTGGACAACTCTTCTCATGATTCTTTTTACTCCTGTCAGAAATTTTGTGAGGAGCACCTGGTCTTGGTCGGTTTATGGTGAAATGGTGTTCTTTCCACTTCCGGATTATAGCCCCAACACTGCTCACTGGAACATTCAGAAGTTTAGAAATCTTTCTGTAACCAATACCATCTGTATGTTTTGCAACATTAAGGTTGCAAAGGTCTTGAGAGAGCTCTTTGCTTTTACCCAGCATGAGATGTTTCTTGGTAACACCCTGGTAATGAGACACCTTTTCATAGGCTATCAGTTGAAACTGAACCAGCTGATATTAATTTGCACTGACAAGGGGTAGGATTGCTTTCTAAATACTGATGATTTCAGCTGGTGTCTTGGCTTTCCATGCCATTTTGCACCTCCCATTCTTCATGTGTTCAATACTTTTTTTTTTCCCTGCATCATTCCTTTTTATTACACATAACTTAATTTCTGAATTTATTTGTTTTGGTTTCTTTGCATTTATGGATTGCACGGGTTGTTACTGACGTGGTGAAAATTTCATGTCAATGGCACCTTTGCGAAATCTGTTAACTAAGAAAAATGGTGATGTGTTCAATACTTATTTTACCCGCTGTGTATATACACAGCTAAACATGAATGCAATATATAGTTATTATTGAGCAGAGCAATAAGCAGAAATCTAGAGTAACTGCATAGATTAAACTTTTAATACAAGGTAGCTATTCTACCCGATACAGGATTTGTATTTCTTTCCATTTTGTCCTGGGATTATTAAGCTCTGATACATAGTAGAATCTGGTCTGGCATGGCAGAAGACCTGATTTTTCCCTGCTGCATTTGATTAACATTTATAGGTTTCCTTTACACTTCCAGACTGTAATAACTGGACAGTAAAAAAAAAAAAGCAGCTTACTGAAGAGCTAATTTGTGTCATGCTGCTCTCTCCACGCATCAGTATGTTCATTTTTTAGGAAGTAAGCACTGCAGCACACCTGATTGGCTTCTTGTTCTCCTTCTTCTTCCTCTCCCAATTTGAGCCTTTTGTATAGGATATTACAAGAGGTTGATTTAGAGTACTTGTACTGTTTGTGTTTGAATAGTAAATTTAATGATGTAGTAATGCATACATAGCTGTGTTAATGTTGTGCATTTTATTACTGTCTTTATATCTGGCTTCAACTTTAATGCAGAGAAAAGGTGATAGTGTTTTAAATTTACCCTTAGGCTGGTTCTAAATCCACTTTTTTTTTTTTTTTTTTTTGTTTCATTACTATTTATTGAATTTTTAGGAAAAGTAAGTATACAACAAGCATTAGTCATAGGGTTGTTACAAAATCACCAGTAACGATGCACTAGTCAGTTAAGACAAACATATCCTAATAAACATTTTGTAAAATGCAAATAAGTCAGAAGGAAAGAATATACAGTGGGGAAAATCTAGCCACTAGTAATATATGGGTTACTATAGAAAGAAGATAGTAATGAGTGATTTCAATAACAAGATAAATATTTGGGGCACTAAGAAGAAAAAGACCAGATGTATAATGTAATGGCTAGTATATTAGTCACAAGTAAGGTCCTTGAAGTCCAAAGGTGGTTAAGGTATAATTCAATAATGCGTGACTAAGTGGCACCCGATTCAAAAAGCTAGAGGAGACTGTGTGAACCATAAAATAAGAGCAAAGCAAGTGCAGCAATAAAAGCAGATTTATTTCCACAAAATTGAAAATTCACGATAGTAGTAGTAGTCAAACGAGCGCTTGTTAAACTGGTGTCAACTGCTGTGCAACTCCTGGCCGGTCCAGTTGCAGGCAGGTCTCCAGTGCACTGTCCTTGGCTATGCTGGTGGTTCCCAATACTTCCTGGTTGATGTGGATCCACAAGGCAGGTGGGAGTGATGTCAGCTCCAAGTACAGCAGCAGTAGGCGTGGCACGTGTTTGGAGCATGCATGCTCCTTCATCAAGCCATCATGATGGTTGTCACACTAGAATGGGAAGTATGTTAATGGCAGGATGGCCAAGTTAAAACATAGGAATATAGTATGAAAAAAAAATAAATGCAGCCACCACATCTAAGGACTGGTATGCTGCAATACCATGATTTTTTATTCTTGGGTCTAGATGATAAGCTTTTACACTGGTAGAAAAAAAGTTTTTTAAATTAGTTTTTACCAGTTGTCGATTAACACTTGTTCCTGCCCAGTCTGTTCATTCAGAACAGATGGTATGTGCTTAAGTATCCCGGGGAAGTGTGATCATTAAAGAAAGTATCATTGAGTATGTCAAGACATTTTTGTGCATTCTGTAGCAATCCTTACCACTACTCACCTGCCTTACGTTTTTACATTATTGCTGTAGAGGCAACATTCTAGACATATATCATGTACTAATTGGTCCACAGATGTGGGTTTCTATTCCTATGGCCTGTAGTCGTGATGCATCATTTCTTTCAACATGGCATAGGGTGTAGGTGTAGACGAAGCCTCCGTTTGATATCAACACCTTTTCCTTTGCCTATAGAGGCTGAATGATTGCATTATCCCTACCTGGGTCTTCCATGTTGAGTGTTTTGTGGAGTGGATTTCATTCCAGTGTCATACATTACATTGCCAACTTTGAGTCTCTGCAACATTCCTTTAGTTGCATCTTTAGACATAGGAAGTAAGACGTCCAACTGATTTTGGAAGTAAATTTTATGGTACACAATTTATTTTTAGAAGTGGTTGAACACAACTTGATTAACTATATATTCGAAAGGTCTTCATTCCCTAAGAGGGTTCTCTGTTGAACTGCCTTTAAACTAATTGTGATTTTTTTTTTTTTTTTTTTTTTTTTTTTTTTTTTTTTTTAGGTACTGAAGAGGTAAACGATAGTGGCTCTCAAACAGTTGTGGAAAAATTAGCTGGGGAGTTCTGCAATACCAACTATTACAAAGAGACCAAGGCCGTGTTGGAGAAAATGTCTATCGGTGAAAAAGTGAAGACCAATTTCTTTAACAGACAAATCACTTACAACACTTCATTCTTTCACCAGTTGAAGTGGGTTTCGAAAAGGTCTTTTAAAAATCTCCTTGGAAATCCACAAGCATCCATAGCCCAGGTAAGCCTTTTATGTCTCCTCCCCAATAGCTACCATCCTTTTTGTTATAAAATAAACAAATAGTGTTACATAAGATTGTGGTACGATAATGTTTGTAAGCGCGTTTATTAACGAGAAAAAAAGGTGCCGTTCACCAACCCTATGCATTGGTATGCACCTCTGTGACCAAGTCCTGGTGAGCGTGGCAAAACATGTCTGGGGGGTGCATGGCTGGAACGGCTCTGGCTGAGGGTACATTCACCTACATACTAAATGCACTGGGTTGGTGAGCTGTGCCTTTTCTTCACTTTGATAGTGCTCTTACACCTCCTGAATGGTGCAGTAACGCCAGCTCCCTTCACTGCAACTGGCGGGCAGATCTCTGTTGAGATCCAAATGAAACTTGCAGTGCCGCTCTAAGCTGAGACAATGTTTGTGTTTTAACTGCTTACTGGCTACCATATTATGTATAATTATGTAAAGAACGTCAAAGGTTCACCATTCATTAAAAAATTACAACAGTTTTTGTACTTGGGCCATAAAACTCAAAAGAATGTGTCATTTATAAGCATTGCGCTCAGAAGTGGATTATCTTTTTTTATCCCCATTTAAAAGCTGATTTACTCAAAACTAAAATGTTGGAACTCTGTGGGAGAGTTTATACAAGACCTATTGGAAATAACAAGACTTAAATGTCCTGTACTACAGTGCCTTATGAATGAGTGATTGATGGCATGTATGAGCTTTTTCGGACAACTTCCAAGTTTGATGATGAACCTATGCTACACTATAATTTTTTTTACTAGCATGTAAGTCTCCAGGTGGACTTTGTTGCATTGCCTAAGCATTTATTTGCATATTTGTGTCCAGCAAACAAAGATGTCATAAACTTGATTATTTTGACTGAGCTCTTAAAAGAACATAAATTCTGATCATGTTGTTTTTGAGTTTAGCATACCCACTTTGTCATTCAAGATGTGCCCACTATCCTCTAAATTGTATTGTATACTGCAGTGCAATAATTGAAGATACAGATCATGAACTGTTAAAGAAGGACTCCCTGCGTAAGTTCATATAATCTCACCATTACCTCCATCATATGACTTAAGTAAGCCACTTAAAAAAAAAAAAAAAAAAAAAAATCCACATTGAGAAGGATCCCCAATCATTTTCTTATCTTGCTCCTGGACTCAGGCTAGCTGTTGTATACTATGCAAAATTCAGTTCCGTTTGTCATCTGTTTACCATTGCCATTTACAGCTACACCTGTAGTTTCACTTGTAGTTCTTTAATCTTTTGTTCAGGAATACTAGGTTCATATGAAAAGAAAATTTTGGATTTTCATGAACAAGTGGCTGTCATACTGGTAACCCTTTTAAAGAGGACCTTTGGCCATATAATGCAAAAGAATCGGACATATACTAAAGTCACCACCTGTAACTGTACTGTATGAACTGTATGATACACAATCAGCAAGTAGTTAGTCATAGGATTTTGGTTAAAGCCAGCAGCTATTTGCCCATCATTTTGATAGACAAACTCACAAACCAGTACTGAGGCATGTGAGGGTCAAAGTTGGCCACCACTGTTAAACAGTTTGTTTGTTTATATAAGCAGTAGTTTGATTTATTTGGCATGCACAGAAAGTCTTCAAATAGTAATTTTTTTCTTCCAGCCAAAATTGTTTCACAGCAGTCACTGGGGTAAATGGAATCTTGGAATTTTGTTGTTGAATAGATGTCTGTCTCACATTCAAAAAAGAGCCCTGAACACGCTGGACCTTGTGACAAGAATTAGCTCTCCTAGTATTGGAGTTAGTTGTCCTGCCTTATTTTGCATTGTATGCATCTCTCTCTTTAATGTACCCGACACCTCATTAGCACAGGATTTTCAACGCTTTCTACGCGTGGTACACAGTTCATTAAAACCATTTCATCTTATCCGACTTAAATTGGTTCTGATATGATCCTTGTTTTCCACTACAGTTAGCTTAATGGCTCACTAATCTGTGCCCTTTGATCTTTTCTGCAAGTTCTTAGTAATACAGTCCCACTTATCCCAGTGATTAGGGAATTAGGAGCTAATGCATCCTTACAGCTTGCACTTAAACGATCAGCCTGATACCAATCATTTTAAAATATTTTACCAATCTTTTGTACAATCCAGTTGGCATATAAGGTCAAAGCAGTTTATGTAATCTCTTAATCTTCTTGGTTCCTGTGTATCATTGTCACTTGATCACCAATAGGCCATGCTTTGCTGTGAGCAAATGTTCAATAAGTACTTAAGCTTTATTTTTTATTGTGAGCTTTGATAGTGTTTCCAAATACTGTGGGGTTTTTTTTTATCAGTTTTTACAGATCTGCTTAGCAGTAGATGGCAAAAATTCAGCTAACAAATATAGTTTTTGTGCTTAATTTTGCTGAATACAAAGCATGATCACGCGTTTCATTTTTGTTAATAAAGTTTTACAAGCAGTGTTTAATATTTAAGGCCTACTAACTACCAGTTTTAAATTAGAACACTAATAACTTTTTTTTTTTACAAAAGAAATTTGCTTTTTAGTTTCATAAATACAAAAAAAAGGTGCAAACTTGTTTTAACCACTTGCCCTCTGGAAGACTTGTCACCCTTAATGGCCAGGCCATTTTTTGCTATTCGGCACTGCACTATTTCAACTGGTAATTGTAACGTCATGCAATGCTGTACCCAAACAAAATTTGTCATTTTTTTTTTTTCCTCACACAAGTAGAGCTTTCTTTTGGTGGCATTTGATCACCAATGGGTTTTTTTTGTTTTGACATCTAAACAAAAAAAGACTGAACATTTTGAAAAAAAAAACAATCTTTTTTACTTTCAGTTATGAAAAATATATAGTAAACTCAAAGTTGGTCATAAATTTAGGCTAAAATGTATTCTGCTACTTTTTGTCTTTTGTTTGAAAAAAAAAAAAAATCCCAGTATATGTATATTGGTTTGTGTGAACGTTTTATAGCGTCTACAAACTAGTGTGTGTGTGTGTGTGTGTGTGTGTGTGTGTGTGTGTGTATATGTATGTGTGTGTGTGTGTATATATATATATGTATATATATGTGTGTATATATCTATCTATCTATCTATATCTATATACAGGTGAAACTCGAAAAATTAGAATATCGTGCAAAAGTTCATTTATTTCAGTAATGTAACTTAAAAGGTGAAACTAATATTTGAGATAGATTAAATACATGCAAAGCAAGATAGTTCAAGCCGTGATTTGTCATAATTGTGATCATTATGGCTTACAGCTTATGAAAACCCCAAATCCACAATCTCAGAAAATTAGAATATTGTGAAAAGGTGCAATATTCTAGGCTCAAAGTGTCCCACTCTAATCAGCTATTTAAGCCATAACACCTGCAAAGGGTTCCTGAACCTTTAAATGGTCTCTCAGTCTGGTTCAGTAGGAATCACAATCATGGGAAAGACTGCTGACCTGACAGTTGTGCAGAAAACCATTATTGACACCCTCCATAAGGAGGGAAAGCCTCAAAAGGTAATTGCAAAAGAAGTTGGATGTTCCCAAAGTGCTGTATCAAAGCACATTAATAGAAAGTTATGTGGAAGGGAAAAGTGTGGAAGAAAAAGGTGCACAAGCAGCAGGGATGATCGCAGCCTGGAGAGGATTGTCAGGAAAAGGCCATTCAAAAGTGTTTCACAAGGAGTGGACTGAGGCTGGAGTCAGTGCATCGAGAGCCACCACACACAGACGGATCCTGGACATGGGCTTCAAATGTCATATTCCTCTTGTCAAGCCACTCCTGAACAACAATCAACAGCAGAAGCATCTTACCTGGGCTAAAGAAAAACAGACCTGATCTGTTGCTCAGTGGTCCAAAGTCCTCTTTTCTGATGAGAGCAACTTTTGCATCTCATTTGGAAACCAAGGACCCAGAGTATGGAGGAAGAATGGAGAGGCACACACTGCAAGATGCTTGAAGTCCAGTGTGAAGTTTCCACAGTCTGTGTTGATTTGGTGAGCCATGTCATCTGCTGGTGTTGGTCCACTGTGCTTCATTAAGTCCAGGGTCAACATAGCCGTCTACCAGGAGATTTTTGAGCACTTCATTCTTCCTTCCACAGAGGAGCTTTATGGGGATGCTGACTTCATTTTCCAGCAGGACTTGGCACCTGCCCACACTGCCAAAAGCACCAAAACCTGGCTCAATGACCGTGGGGATTACTGTGCTTGATTGGCCAGCAAACTCGCCTGACCTGAACCCCATAGAGAATCTATGGGGCATTGCCAAGAGAAAGATGAGAGACATGAGACCGAACAATGTAGAAGAGCTGAAGGCCGCTTTTGAAGCATCCTGACCTTCCATAACACCTCAGCAGTGCCACAGTCTGATAGCTTCCATGCCACACCGCATTGAGGCAGTAATTGCTGCAAAAGGGACCCAAGCCAAGTACTGAGTATATATGCATGCTTATACTTTTCAGAGGTCCGATATTGCTCTATGTACAATCCTTGTTTTATTGATTGCATGTAATATTCTAATTTTCTGAGATTGTGGATTTGGGGTGGATTTCATGAGCTGTAAGCCATAATCATCACAAATATGACAAATCACGGCTTGAACTATCTTGCTTTGCATGTAATGAGTCTATCTCATATATTAGTTTCAACTTTAAAGTTGCATTACTGAAATAAATGAACTTTTGCACAATATTCTAATTTTTCGAGTTTTACCTGTACATGTATGTATGTATATGTGTATGTATTTATATATATATATATATATATATATATATATATACAGTGGGGCAAAAAAGTATTTAGTCAGCCACCAACTGTGCAAGTTCTCCCACTTAAAAAGATGAGAGAGGCCTGTAATTGGCATCATAGGTAGACCTCAACTATGACAGACAAAATGAGAAAAAAAATCCAGACAATCACATTAGATGATTTGGAAAGAATTTATTTGCAAATTATGGTGGAAAATAAGTATTTGGTCACCTACAAACAAGCAAGATTTCTG